GGCAACGGTCCTGGCAATAGCAGCGGCGGTTTCCTCGGCGGCGGCCTTCCCCTTAGCTTCGGCGTCTTTCAGCCTCTGCTCCACGGTCTCCCTCTCCAGCCGAAGGGCTATCTCCGCATCAGCAAGCCTCTGCCGAAGGGCCACCTTCTCTTCATCAAATTTCTTCAGAGCCTCGTCCGCCTGGCACTTGGCAATCCTCAGCTGCTCGACCCTTCGGGCCTGCTCGGAAGCAGCCAGGGCAGCCTGCAAGTGAACGCATATGGACAAAAATATAGCATCAAAATGAGCCATCGGGGGCTATTGTTAAAAAGAAAAAATGAAGGAAAGAAAAGGGGGAAGGCGACTCACCATAGTACTGTAGCTTGCGACTTTATAATCGAGGATGTCGTCCCCGAGGCGGGCCAGCACTGACCTATCCTTCGGCGCCATCACCCCCCTCATGAAACCAACGGGGTGAAGGGTGCCGTGCATGACTGAAGTCCCCGACTTGACGGGGAATTGGATGATCTCCGCCGGGCGGACTTCCTCGTCTATAGGGGATGGAGGGGAACGAGGAGGAGTGGTCGCCGAGGGATTCGAGGATGGCTGCTCCTCGACTATCACAATGGGGGCATCCTTCCTCCCGGAGGCCCCCTTCCTCTGCTTCTTGTTCTCCGGGGGAGCGACACCCTTCCCGGAGTTCTTTCTCTTGAGCTCCTCCCCCTTAGAGCCCCCGGCACCAGCACCGGCATCAACAGCTTTGGAGGGTCTCTCACCCTCCGGGACCTGAGCAGCCCCATCCTTCCAGAAAAACTCATCAACGGGTTTCTGGCTTCCCGTCTCCTTTTTCTTGGGCTCTTTTGCCAGCTTTTTCTTGAGGGTTGCGAAGTTGGAGATGTCCATGCTAACACCTGCAAAGTGACAACAATGGTTAACCCGAGGGTACAACTACGAAACAGAAAAGCAATACAAAAAACCCTGAGTACAACAATGAGGACCCTTCGGAGACTACCTCCTATACTACCGAAGGCTCCTTCGAAGATAGGGTACTGTTCGTCCCTTTCCCCCAAGAAACGGTATCGCCGGAAGCCAAGGGCCAGCAAGTCCTTTGGGAGGGTCGAGTCCTTGACGGTCACGTGCTTTGTCGCCCCCTCCGGCAGAGCAGCTATCTTCCTCCCCTCTCTATGGAGTGCGGCACTTCCCACCTTCGGGTGCCGCCTGAAGTGGTTGCGCAGTATCCTCGGGAATGGGTTTCCTGCCATCTTGATATAGCAGAAGCGGTCCTTCCATCCTTTGTGGGACGAAGGCACATCATCAAAAAGCCTCCAGGGGGCAAGCTGCTGCAGGTTTGCAAACCCCTCGGAATTGGTGTGGCCCCCCCGGCACAAGTTGAAGCTCTGAAAGAATAAATCGGGGGTCGCGGTTACCCCCCCGGGATCGACAAAGCTGCAGGAAGCCAGTGATATAGGAGTGGCTGTTTGGGGTGAGCTGGTAGGGAGCTAAACCCACATACCTCAGATACTCGAGGAGGAAGGGATGCAGCGGAAACCGGAGGCCCATGGCAACCGACAACACATCGTCCGCGAAACACCCTTCGGGAGCTTGGGACAAGAGATGGTTGGGCCCCGGTTCAATCACGGTGGCCGAAGGGCCCACATGCAGCTGGGTGACGTAGCACTCGGCCCGGTCAGCCCTTGACTTCAGCGCGAGGGCGGCAGTATTCAGCCACGAATGCCCCTCGGGTATTCCCACGGGCTTCCCACAATCCACGACGGTTTGCTTGTTCTTCTGAGGGGCCTTCGACTTCTTCCTCTTCTTCCCCACGGCAACACTGAGGGGTTCCGGATCTAATGACCGGGAGGTGCTCGCTTCGCCGGCACCGCGAAGTGGGAGGACAACGACAGTAACTCCTTGCCTCTCCTTCTCCTCCTCTTCTTCGGCTACCTGGAGCGCGAGGGCCATTTCTTCGTCCTCGGCCACCTGCTCGAACTCCTCCGCCTCCAGCTCAGTGCGAAGGTCATTTTGGACCTCTTCGGCAACAGCCGAGTCATTGTTCGCCGAGGACTGCTCGCTTGAGGACTCCACATCTGAGTAGCTCTCCTGCTGGACCGACGGCCCTTCCGATGCGTTCTGGGAGTCACTTTGCGAAGACATTCTTAGACGCTAAAGGCGGATGTTTGGAAGAAGGAGGCTACCTAAATATTCAAGCCGAGGGCTCCTAAAATCGCTAACACTAGATCAAAGCGAAGAATAGCGAAGTATGCTAAGGGAACAAAGAACAGGTGAGGAACTGACCTGGGATTGAAGAAAATTCTTGGGTTTGATCGAAGAAAAGACTTTCTCTCTCTAGAAAACAAAAGGGCAGAGCTTCGCTTCGCAATGAACGCACAAGGGGAATGACTCCGGCTTTGGGGTATTTATAGGCTCATGACCTCGATATATGGGCCTCGATTTGAAAAGCCCATCATTACGGGCCGCCGGTTCAACCAATGGATGGCTCCCGCCCACCTTCAGCCAACGCCAGCCAGCCACGTCGACCCCTCCTCCAACGGCTATATTGCAACGGCTATATTTCAGAGCACCCTCGAACGATAACCCCCGGCTGTCACTCACCGCAGCCTTCAGACAACGAACTCCACCAAGCGCCTCCGAGCTCGCAGCAGCATAAGCCTTCGGCTTATCAATATTGCCACCCCTCGGGAGCTCATCAGCACATCATAACTCCTTCAGCCCGAACTTGCCTTCGGCCTAAAGGAGTGGGGGACTGGCATACACCCCTCAGGAATCACGCAGAACAGAATTTCCTCAGGCAAAATTTACGATTGACGCATACAGCCTCTGGGGCAAACATTAAAGTGGAACTCCTCGGGTACAAACCTCAAAGTACCCTTCAACAGAAGCAAAGCATCAAAACACATGCAGATGATACATTTCCCTCAGAAAACCCTCGACATGTGAGGGACTGAGGGGAGCCTCCGGCAAACCTGCGAAATGTTATGTATATTTTTTCAGGAAACCCTCGACATGTGAGGGACTGAGGGAAGCCTTCGGCAACCACCAGAAGACAAGTTCTCAAGCAGAGGCACCGAACGAAATGAGGAAGCCTCCAGAAGAATCAACGCAACTACTCCTTTTTCCTCAAGTACCTTTCGGCAAAAGGAGTGAGGGACTCCTGATGGAGTATATGGCCCAGGAACCCCCGGCCCATAGACTCCTACTTCTCCTACACGAGTCCATTGAGCCCAGAGAACATCTCAGGCCCAAATACAACGGCCCAAGCATCCAAGAAGCCCAGAATACACACTGGGGTGCCTTCGGCCTCCCTGGCCGAAGGCTCCAAAACTCAGTGGATAGCCTTTTTGGGCATACATAGCTACTGGGAGGAAACGGCGGAAAACAGGAGCCTTCGGCATCATCAAGCTCTCGGCATCAGAGAAGCCTCCGGCTGAACCAAGCCTCCAGTCACGCAGGGCCCTCGGCTACACAGGGGTCCTCGGTCACATGGAGCCCTCGGCTACACAATGAGCCTTTGGCCTAACATGCTCAATCATCGAAGATTTCTTTTGGAGACAGCCAACCACCGCATTTAATGCAACGTCACGTCCGCCAACCGCATTCAATGCGGTGAACATGCCACTGCCGGTGCCACCCGATTGATGTGACCCTTCGGCCATTGGATTGTTGACACGTGTGCTCTCATCGCATTTATTGCTGCTATAAATAGCAGTCCATTTCTACTTGTAAACGATCCCAGATCCAACTCTTACACGTTGAGTTCATTTAATAAATCGACTCTCTCTCCTCCTATTTTGCTCTGACTTCTCTCTAGTTATTCCCGCAATAACCCCTCGGATAATATACCCCCCGGGTAGACCGTCCATCATATATATATATATATATATATATATATATATATATATATATTTACGTTCAAATGAGAACAAGCCTTAACGTGAGAAGTGAGAACAAATCTCAGTCACTCATTTATAACTTCCGATCTGCACTCAACTTAACTAAATAGGAGGGTATTTACGTATTTCAATCTCAATAGGTTTGTGTAACCGACTATGGCAGTTAATATCTTCATGCGTCCCACTATTGTAAACATTAAATGACATATAATATTAAATATTGATTTAATTGTCACGTACTCATGGCATTGACCATTTCCATGTAGAGAACTTTTTGCATGTTTTTATGGAATGTTTGTTAGTAAGCAACGAATAAAGGAAGTATAATACCACTCCCTTTTTATTAAATTATTCCTTCAATAATCTATCTCCTTATTTATTAATCATCATGTCATGGTTTTATTTTTCAATACATATTTTCATTTTTATGTTATATATGAAATGTGAATTACATACAAGATCATGTGCATTACATAAATGAGTTGTGATTCGGATACCGGTTCATGTGCATTACATACTCGGGGTTGTGTGTTAGATACCGATTCTTGTGTATGACATACTTCGATCTTCATACTGTGTGCTAGATGGAAGTTATCTAACGTATATACATATTGTGCTTTAGGTACTAGTTCATGTGTACAATACAATGATTTTAGTTATATGAAATCTTTGTGTGTCAGATATTATGGATTACTTCTTAATTATTGTGCGCTACATACTGATTTTTTGTGATTGAGATACTTATTTTGGTGCTTTATATACTATTTTTCGTGTGTATTAGATATTGGTGATTATGTATTAGATACTCGTTATTGGGTGTTTATTCGTATTGTGCATTATATAATTATTCTTGTGTATTATTTATTAGTTTAAGTTGTGTGAAATCCTGATATGTTGATATTAATTACTCCGTAGTTTTTAGTTTTGTGTGTTAGATATTGTTCTTTGTGCATTAGACATTGGTTTTTGTGATGAAGATACTTGTTTTAGTTTTTCTTATACATATTGTGTGTTAGATAACGTTTCTTGTGCATTAGATATTACTGGTTGTGTGTTTGTTGTGGCTGAAGATAATGTTTGTGGTGGTTTGTTGTATACATATTAGACAATTTTTTTAACAGAATTATATATGACATATTGATCTCATTTGAAAGATCATAAAGAGTTATTTAATTTGATATATTTTTTGTAAAAATGAGATTACAATTTAAAAAGTTAAATCAATTTTAAAACCAAATCATTTTATATGATTTGACATTTAATCTCTTCCTAATTTTTTGGTAGGTGATAGCCTTGAACCGATTCTACCTTAAATGATCTTTGAAAGGTTGACAATTTTACCCTATGCACAAGCCACGTATGGTTGTTTTAATTTGCTAAATGTGCTTCTATGTTACGCAACGTACGAACTAATTGTACACCTACTCATTAATCAACCGTTCGATTCTCTTAATTAAAGGCTAGGATTTGTTCTCACTTCTTACAATAAGGAATGTTCTCATTGGAACCACTCCCTATATATATATATATATATATATATATATATATAGAGAGAGAGAGAGAGAGAGAGAGAGTTTGGTTCAAATAAGAACACCATCTAATGAAAAAAATAAGAATGAATCCTGGCCATTAGAGCAACTGATTTTCTAATATACTCACGTGTTTGGACGCAGGTCAAATAGGTCATTCCAATTTCTCTTCCCTTTTGTACGTAGCTATCCTTCCCCTTCCTTATATATGTATTTCCATTTTCTTATAATCAAATAAACCTTTTATTCCTTTCCTTTTCAGTTACAGATGATATTTCCATCTACGTGAAATCAATTCACGTACGTTTGAGCAACTCAACGTTCTGAGTGCCTCTTCCTCCCCAAGAGCTCTGAAGCTTCATTAATGGATAAAGGTCTGTTTTTTATTCTTCTTTCGTTTGTACTACATTTTTTTGTTTCATTTGTTGTTTTATATTCTTGAGTAAGTTTCATCATTTATGTTTCATGTCTTGTAGAAGTTTTACAAATATCTCATGGGTTAACTAAGTATTGGAACCCTGAATTTGATGAAACGTTTAATTCAAAGCTTGGCATGGTATTCAAAAATCTTTGAGGGTATTGAGTTTTATAAGAAGTATGCAGCTGTTTGTGGGTTTGACTCTCATATCGGTTCTAAACCTAAGGACCGCGGGCGAAGGACGCACACAGTTATATGGAAATATGTTGTGCGCAATAGACAGGGTTTCAAGAATGTTGCTAAAGGCAATCCGCCAGAAATCAGCCATGCTCCCGTAGTTAGCCCTGTTTGCACAGCTTTTTTCATTCTTCTTTTAATAATTTTACCTGTTGAGCAAGTCACAGGTAACCTAAACTAATTTGGGAAGGCTATGGGCATATTTGAGATTATTTTAGAATTACACATACAAGGGATTAATATTGGAATACCTCTAATAGTTGGGATTATTGTTGTGAATTTATGAAATCCTTATGTATTCGATATTAGGTTTTAATTGTTGTGCGTTACATTCTGCCCTTTGTGATTGAAATACTTGTCCTGGTGCTTTATATACAAACTATGTGCGAAATACTACTTTTCATGTGCATTAGAGATTGGGGGTTGTGTGTTAAGTACATGTTCTTGTGTGTGTGATAGCTGGAGATGCTTATAGTGATTTATTGTATACATATTATACTTATTTAAAAAAACAAAATTACATATCCAATATTGATGTCATATGAAAGATAATAAAAAAAATTAATTTGATATAATTTTTGATAAAATCATATTATAATTTAAAAGGTTAAATCATTTTTAAAGTAAAAACATTTTATATAAATTAGGTTTTTACTTTTACCTACTTTTTTGGATAGTGGAAGCCTACAACCGTACAACATTAAATGGTTATTTAGAATGACTCTAATGACCTTTATTAGTTCCACGTTCCTCTTTTCCTTTGTACGAGACATGCTATTATGTGAGGATGTCCATCTTTGTATTGTGAGCCAATTACTTATGGCCATTCATTTAATGAGCTTATGGGTTGGGATGTGTTCTCATTTCAATTCTCACAATAAGGGGTGTTCTCATTATTAGAACCACTCTATATATATATGTGTGTGTGTGAGTGTGTGTGCGCGCGCGAAAAATGAGAGTCTTGTCTCGTATTGTGTTAATATATGTGGTTCCATCCTTAAAAAAATTGTAGCCTTATTGTTACATGCATTTAGGAGTAATTTTACTCCTATTTAGGGCTAATATGCGATTATTTTATGGAAATTACCATAAATAGGCGTAAGAAAGTTTTGGAATTCTAAAATATGACACCTATGTTTTTTCTTCTCAAAACATGAGTCGTTACTGTCACGATTGAAAATTACTGTCATTAATGACATTAAATATTGTCATTTTAATACATAATACTGCAACTATTTTGACTATAATGACTCCAAGATGATAATAAATATTGTCATGTTACTCTTATTTTGATAACAAAAGTATAACAATTCATTTTGTAATTTCAAAAGCCGTTTATTCATATATATTCCGGGAACTTTCCAGTATTTTATGATCGAGGAGTAGATCGACTAAGGTAGTTATATGTTAATTGCGATTCATCTAGCCAGGATATGTACACAAAATGATAGGACATTTGTTCTTGTTTAAAAAAAATCCAACGGGCCATGTTAGTGCTGCTCTTAGGACTCATTAGGATTTAGGAGTAGTCCCAAATTCAACCAAGTCAGAAAAAAATACCAATATTATATAACTAAAAAACAAAAACTACTGGAATATTGATTTATAATAAAATATATATAAAGAATCAAATTGAAGAAGATAGTCAAGATATAAGATCGGACACTTTGATGACCAAAACCAACCAGTGCTAATTATATTCAACCTATGAAGACTATAAACACGTACATAATACACTCAATCATCATATATTTATATTATACCACACACAAATACAACAAAATTAAATGAAATCACCCCCATAAATATATACTATGAATGTACCCATTATATTCCAAAAGCTAGCTAGCTATTTAATTAAGTGAGACTGTACTTTAATTTAATTCATAAATAAATACTACGGAATAGTATATAATTATGTACTTCCTCTGTTCCCTTTTAATCGCAACAGTCAACATTTCACGTTTGCCAACGCACAAGTTTGACCATTAATTTCTTTAATTCCGGCCTTATTAGTAAAAAATTAAAAATATTCATGTTTTGAAAATTTAGAATGAGAAGAATTTAACAATATTTTTTTAAAATTTAATTTCTAATACATTAATTAATAAAATATAGTCAAAGTAGAATATGCAAATAGTACAAAAAGTCCAATGTTGCAATTAAAAGAGAACGGAGGTACTATATACTTTTGTATTTCACATACAGGTTATTTCAACGACTCGATCGCTGAGATTTGATCATTTCATGTGGAAATATAATCAAACCAGACAGAAGATCCGCGTTTCTCTCCTTTATTTTGTCCAACCCTGTAAAAAATGGAAGCGTATACCATACAGCCGGCTGTACGGCTGGCACCGTACAGCCGGTGGCAGTTTTGTAATTTTCATGAAGTTCGTGGTTTCTCGTAAATGAGCATTGATGTAATTTTGATGAGCATCGAGCCTGTTCTTCTGAGTATTAAAAGCCTAACAATGAGCACCAGTGATCTCTGCTTCATATTTTCTAATTCGGTTTCTTTTTATGATTTTTTCATTTATAAAAATTAAAAATCTTAAATTATGTTTATAATTACTTTCAATATGTGAATCTAATGTAGTATGATATGTTTGATATGTGCATCATTTTAAAATGAGCATAAAACAGTACCGAATGAGCATACATAATTTATAAAATGAGTATAAAAAAATTCAAAACTTTATTTGTGTATGCTCATTGATTTTGGGCGTATATTTGATATGTGCATCATTTTAAAATGAGCATAAAACAATACCAAATGAGCATACATAATTTACAAAATGAGTATCAAAATATTAAAAACTCATTTTTGTGTGTTCATTCATTTTGGGCATAATACTCATTTGAATTTAACTTAAAACTCATTTTGAAATATGCATGAATATGACATTTTAAAAAGAGTATTGTATTAATATCAAATGAGTATACATAAATTACGAAATGAGCGTTCAAAAAACTCATTTGAGTATGCTCATTCATTTTGGGTGTTATACTCATTTCAATTCTACATGAAACTCATTTTCAATGTGTTCAATATTAGTTTGTGTGGGTTCATTTCTTTTAGGCGTATACTCATTTCTTTTAGACTCATTTAAAATCACCACCATGCTCAAACTTTTATTTGCGTATGCTCATATCTTTAGAATTACGTACAACCTAGGTTATCCCTGACCCAAAAACCACCAAACTAAAATAATCAGTGTGAGAAAAATAGAAAAAGGAAAAGAAAGGAACAGAACGTGCGAAGTTAAGGACGAAGCTGAAGGAGAGCTGCTGAAGGGTTGCGGTTGTCGAAAAAGGGAGAGGTGCTAGTAGGCGGCGAGCAACGGAGCAAGGATGATCGGCCATGGAAGCCTGCGAGGGAAGCCCTACGATGACGGAAGCCTGCGATGGAAGCCCTGCGATGACGGAAGTCTGCGATGGAAGCCTGCAATTCGCGAACTAAAAGTCCGGCTGTACCGTGCGCACGGTACAGCCGGCTGTACCATATAATTTGCGGTAAAAAATACTCTACTAATTAATAATACAATTTGTTTGTATGTATATATCGCATGTACGTCGTGCTACAACCGTTGTACAATGCGATGACTAAAGTCAACGGCGGTGGGGCCCGGGCTAAGATCTTGCCGGAGGCGGGAAGAACGTACCAGCTGCCATGAACGGGTCCGGATAAGTTGATGAGGGGTCCACGTACCCGGACCCTCCGTGATGATGGTCCGGGTCCGTGGCAGCTCTCGAGGAAGCGGCGCCGGCCGTGCTAAGGAGTAAGCTGCTGTGGTTTTGCTGGTGGTGCGGTTGAAGTCCGCCGCCGGCACTTCCGCAGCCGGAGGAGGCCTCCCCCGCCGGTGTCAAGTGATACTGAGCCTCCTCGGGGCCTTCGTCGTAGAGGATCCCCTTGAAAAGATGGCCGCCGATGGTGACGGAGGCTTGGTAAGCGTACTGATCGTCGCCTCCGTCATCCACCGACCTCATCCTCACGCACTGGAACGCCGCTGTTGTGCTCACCTTCCCCGGAAAATTCCCCAGCTCCAACCCTAATTCAAAATTCTTAATTAGCATTCTTCATCATATTATATTTCTCCTTATTAATTATATTCACAACAAAATAATGTGGAATTTTAAATAGAAAGACAATGGTTTTCATTCCCTCAATAAAATTAATTGCTGAAACATCATACTTGCAAAGTCCTGATAATAGTAAAAATTTAATACTCCTATTACGTACGTATGACAATAAGTTACGCCTTTTAAAAAAAAAAGTTACTCCTAAGAAAAAAATACCTTAAATAAATTCAACAGTTCACTTTTGACATTTATTAACACATAACTTTGACCATTAGTTTATTTAAATTTCTATTAGTAAAAATATTACAAAATTCAGATTCTGAAAATTTTTGATGAGACAAATTTAACAATTTTATCCCCAATAAAATGTAGTCAAAGTAGAACATATGAATAGTGTAAAATTCAATATGTTGCATTTATTTAACAACAGAGGTAGTACATAGTAATACTCGTATTTTTAGATTAATTTTATAATTGTTTTGAATTTTGAATTCGTTTTTCAGAATGTTCCCTAACAACATTAGTAACAATTATAATAATAACAATCATGATGATGCCTCCATTCACTTTTATACGACATTTTTTGTGTAAGTTGTTCATGAGAGTGTTATGGGAATTTACCTAAGTAGGAGTAAATATGTTTATCTACCAATCTATTTCAAAATAGGATTATTCTGTTTTATTGTCTAAATAAGTCTAATTACCGCAATGTTTTGACATTACCAGACTTGAAATATGACATTATTTTCTAAACTTGACAGTAATTACTCTTATTTAAAGAATAAAAACATGATAGTTCTGTTTTGAAATTCTCAAACATTTGTAGTAACATTTCGAGAATTTTCTCTGAGTGTTACTTGCTCCACTTTCCATATGATTTTAACAATTACGGGGTACTACTATAGTAATAGACATAAATATTACTTCCTGCATATATCATTATAAGTGTTGCAATAGGTTTTTCACGTACTTTAATACTACCCATCCCAAAAAGCTAAGATTGGTCAATGGTGTTAAAGTTTAGACCACGATTTTAGATGTTATATTTGTATAATTCATAAGTGTTATACTTTTATGAAATAGTTTTTCATGAAGAATATGCTCATATATTTTTTATATTTAAAATAAATTTTTATTAAAAAATATCATTGGTCAAATTTCAATTTTGACCAATGATATTGAGTAAGAAATGTCAATTTTGCCATTCCTTTTTAAATGGAGGGAGTATGAGATTTTCGGTATTGTAGTTGTACAGTATATTAGAGTTGTACTGTAACTACTTTTGAGATAAATTTATTTTCAAAAAGGGATATGTGACAATTTTTTGATGCGGTCTGAAAAAGGAATATGTGACACTTATCATCCGAGAAAGTATCACTCTTGTTTACATTTTCTCCTTTTTATCTCATCTCTTTATTTTCTGCATTTCTTTTTTTTATCACAAATGCAAATGTGTTCTTAAATTTAGTAAAATCTGCTAAGGTAAAAAATAGTGAAGAGACTTGAGAATGCTATTAACAACCGTAATAGTGGCAGCGTGCAGTAGTAATGGTAAAAGTACTACATAACATATGGATTAGTATTTTCTTGTAAATCCGTCCGTTTGTGATGCTTTGATACTCCATTTCTTCCATTTAAATCTTTACACTTTCCTTTTTGCAACGTCTCATTTACTTCTTTACATTTCCTTTTTACGCAACTCCTTTAATATTAAATGTCTTAACTACCCTTTACCACTCACCCACTTTTTACATTTGAGTGGATAATATTAATTCCCCTCAAAACTCAAAGTACATGCAAGACATTTGCAATTCTATTAATTAGGCTCCTAAAACATCATGCCAAAAACAAACGTCAAGATTCAACCGGGATGAAGGGAGTATGATAAATACTGAAGCCAAAATTGTATTGGCCGGCAATCTTTATGAAAAGAGAAAGATACAATTATTAAAACCCCAAAATGATTTATTTAATTATTTCGGGGAAAGTGGTATTTTTTTGGGAAACTTGAATACAAAAAGTTAGAAAACTTTCAAAGACAGAGAGCAATAATAATAATAAGAATAATGATAATAATAGTAATAATAATGATGCATTAATTATACTCATTTGTCTCGAATTAACGTTTCTCGTATTAATATAACATTTTCGGTTTTATCGACAACGGATGACTTATTTCTGATAAAACTACATTAGCTTCCTCTAAGAAATTTTAAAATGGTATAAACAATTAAAGTTTACATCTGAATAGAAACTTTGCTGGACATTAAAAACGGGATTTAATGAAATTAAAAAGAAGTAGGTATGAGAAATCTTAAAGTACATTGTTAAATTAATTAAGTACATGAATAGTGTTGAGACACTTATTCTTGGAGATATTAATAATATAATACGGAGTAATAATAATTGTAATTGGTTCGATCAATTGAGATGGTGTTCATAAGTTTTACAATGATTCGTTTAATAACATGATATAAATCCAATTAAATCCAATGAAAATACACGACCATTTTTTTTAAATAAAATACACGACTAATTTGGTAAAGTATATAGCTAGGGATTGAGTTACGTTGTATTTAAAATAATAAATATATATTCCAACAAAATAAGGACGTTTTCTTTTGGACTGTTTTCATTCCCAGACCAGACCAGACTTAAACAGACCAGACCAGACTAGACCAGACTTAAACAGACCAGACCAGACTTCCGTAGTTATAAAATACACAAAGACCAGACGTTTAACAGACCAGACCAGACCAGTTCAGACCAGACGTTTACCAGACCAGACCAGACCAGACTTAAACAGACCAGACCAGACTTAAACAGACCAGACCATCAAATTTCAGTTCAATCCAAAAGAAAACATCCTAATAAACAAATAATGAAATGAACAAATTACCTGCGGTTGTAATTGCGGCTGGATCATCGTCCTCTCTGTGTCGTCTTTTTGGGGTTGATAGTAACTCTCTACTGCTACTGCCGCCGCCACCGCTATCGAGCCGAAGGCTTTGTTGATTATTATCGCTGTGGTGGTGTCGCTGGTGCCGTTCGCGGCGTTTGGCGGCGGGGACCCACGTGCTCTTCACGTGAGTGTGGCAGGGAAACCCCCGGCTCTTGCAGCAAGTCCTGCACCTCATGTGCGAGCAGTCCTTCTTTGCCTGGTTTCCGCAGTCCTGGCAGCTGATCCCGCCGCACCGCATCATCGCCACGAACGCGGCCGACCTCGACTGGTTCTCGGAGGAGTAGAGATCCTGCACCAGCGGGTAACTGTTGTTGAGGTGGCGGCGGACATGCGGCTGATCTTGCCATAGCTCGAACCCTTTATTGTTACTGTAGGCGGCGGCCGCGGGCATTTCCTGGACGTCGTCGTCATTCCTGTAAATAAACCAACTTTCCGGGTTGATTTCCCGGTGATCTTGGCCGTTGGCGGCGCTTTCCCGGTGATCTTGGCCGTTGGCGGTGGCTCCTCCTGTCCCCCCGCCAGCTAAAGAGAAAAAGCCGGCCATATATATCTATATATATATATGTTGAATTCAAAATGGCGCGCAGTTTAACTAAGCTAACTGGATGGGTTTTAATTAATTATCTTTCTTGACTCATCATCTATCTAGCTGGATGGGTGTAATTTAATGGTTTCTATTCTATTCTATTCCGCGTAGATGGATCGGTTGCCGGGGATGAAATGAAAGAAAGAAAGATTGCAGCTTTTTGGTTTTTCTTGGACAGAAGAAAGTGAGAGTAGACTTTTGGTTGGTGATATACAGTATATGGGAAGCATTTAAGGAAGGACGTACGAAGACCGGCCTTAATTAGCAGCTAGCTCTGCCACGCCGCACCGCCGCCATGGCCTTAAAGCAGCAGCAGCAGCAGCTGATCATGATCGATCTTAAAGATCTATCTGTAGCTAGCTGGCCTGGATGGTTTAAAGATCGATCGATCAATTCCTAGCTAAGCTACTTCCTCTATCTCCGATCCTGTCTACTATACATATATAAATTTGAGAAAGAAAGAAAGAAGCCAAGCTAGCGATTGAAACTTTAGTTTAGTGTGATAATAATTCAATTTACCACGCGCTTGGTTAGGGTTAGCGATAGAGGTTACCTTTGTCATTGTACCAAGTATCACAATCACATATACAACCAAAACATATTCTTTTCATTCGTATGTATGTAGATATATATATATATATATGCATGGTCCGTTGGTTCTTAACTTTTAGGTAATTAAGTTGAAACCATCTACACTATATATGTATAGTACTATAGTTTGGTACTCCGTGCATCCCATTATTAACTAGCCTTTTCTTTTCAATAGCATAATTAAGAATATCAATTTTGACATAAAGTCAACTTCTATCACGTCGAGTAAAGAGTAAGTATATTACATACTTCCTTCGTTCTTAAATAAATGCAACGGTCAACATTTCACACTTGTCGAGACACAACTTTGACCATTAATATAAATGATTTTGTATTAGTAAAAAAATTAAAAAAATCAGATTATGAAAATTTACAATGAGACAAGTTTAACAATATTTTTTTCATAAAATAATATTATTACATGAATAAATAAAACGTAATCAAAGTAGAACATGTGAATAGTGTAAAAGTCAAAGTGTTGCATTTATTTAAGAACCGAGGTATTATGACATTTCTATGTATATAAACTCAGTTGTTTAGTGTTAATTGACTACAGACGTTAGATACATACGTCAATACGACCGATTCGGCTAACAGAATGCTAATAAGTTGACTACTTTCTCAAAGTTGACGCCAGTCCCAAGCCCATTGGTCTTTGCTTACTAGGACACTGGTGATTTTACTGTCACGGGAAGGAGTACCCCCGGGGAAAAGTGAGTAAGCTCGTTAGCATACCCCCCAAGTGTGAGCAGCTCAAGACCACGGTGGATCTTCTTACAACGACCCCCCCCCCCCCCCCCCCCGTGAGCGCAATGCTTCGGTGAGGCCCTGCCCCTGGACTCTTACGGAAAGTGAATTCGGGCGGTTGTTGAGGTGTTGGTGCCCATCCTAGCTAGTTCACATGGCCCGCAACCGTTCCTCATTTCCGAGCACACCCAGGATAATCTTATGTTGAGGGAGGCCGACAAGTGTTCCAAGGCCCAGCAGCGTGCCGAGGCGATCGCCAAAGGCAAAGATGTCAGGCCGATGAGACCGATGTGATGGTTTTGGTTCTGATCTCGAGGACCGGTACGTTGGTAGAGTTCGGTCCATCTTGGATAAGGTTTTGCATGGTAAGCTTGGTCCAAAAGAGAACTTTGGTTCTCATCTATTACTTGTATTATCTTAATGATGTACTTGTAATGGTTCAGCGATGATAATGAGTCTCCTCACAACCGTGTATTTGTTACTCTACACCACCTTACAATGGCTTTGATACCACCGTAAGGTATGTGTTTCAGCTCAGGTCTCCAACCCAATCAACTCACACACACCACTCTAGGATTGTTTAGCCACTCCGGCCATTCACCTTATTCAAGCCATAATAGGCAGACATTTATAATAGGCAGACACCTATTATTGGATCGGAGTCACGGGCAACATGGGCAAAGAAAAGGGAAGCCCAATACTTTGGCAGTGGGCAGGATAACAAGTACATGGTCAAATGCCATGTCAGATAAGTAATGAACGGACACAAGAGGGAAAAATAGGAGTAGGGCTAAACTCAGGGTGCAGGCATTAACACGAACAAGTGGACGGGAGGCCTTGGTAGGACTAATAGCTCCAACAATCGAAGATGAGGATGAAGACTAGATTGGGCCCCTCCCTTTTTTTCATTTGCCCTTTTCCTTCACTCTATAATTTCTGGTTGTTAGCCCCAAAGAATTTAAAAGCGAGTTTTCTCTTCCATTGTTTGAAGTTATTCCCCCACGCGATCTTTTAATTTTGAATAAATGTACTTGTAAGGCTTCCGAACTTTAATTAGTAAAATCCTTGTAATCTAAACTTGCGTCCTGCACGGGTCGCAGTACTCGTAAAGGCTTCCAAACTCTAATTAGTAAAATACTTGTAATCTAAACTCGAGTCATGCGCTCCAACCCTATCTTCGGCGGATATCCATTCCACCGCCTTGGGGTGCTGGCCCTCGGGGAAACGTAGGAAGAAGAAGTGGTGTTTCCGGTCACGGATAGATGAAGGGGCCCCATGGAATAATCTTTGTCCAGGTCGGGCACTGATACTCAAGAATCTATCCGAGTTTTGGGGAGAAAGCTTAAAGAAATGGTGAAACAGGTCTAGGCTCAGATCTACGTCCCTATCTGAGCATCCCCTTGGGTGGCATTTTCTTGAACAATGTCCTCCAACATCATTGTGGGGAACGACGTCTCCATCAACGGCATCAGCGATAACTCCTCCGGTCGTGGTCGAGGACCCAGAGCTGCCAGAAGAACTCGTCTCTCCCGACGACCGGGATTCAGAGTTGGATTCGAAGAACAAACGGGAATCTGTAGCCACCTCCCTAAGGGCCGATATTGGGCAACTGACGTGCACTTTGTCGTGGTGTGCACTCAAAATAAATATTCAATACAACAATTATACGTAGTATAATGAAGTAAGGTTCGTATCCACAGGGAAAGGAATACTTCTCTTTTTATGTAACTAGTAAGAAGGGGGATTTAAAGTTTGATTTGATTTAATTAATTAAATACGAAGATGAACGACTTATATGAGTTTAATTAATAGAGACGAGGACTTCGTTTTGCTTTTATCCACTTAATGAGATGTTCGTCGATCCCGGTTATATCTTTAACTATCTTCCTCTCGAATACTCAATCGAGGAGTATATCCAATTCATCGAGGGTAGTTATTAATAACGAGACGCGTTCATTAATAAAACTTACTACCGCGTCAATATAGATCGCGCACCGTATATTAACCCGATAGTAGCAATAAACTTAAGATGAAAACGATTGAGATTGATAACCTCAACACAAGCGGTTTATTGGTTTAATCAATATAATTAATTCCCCTTAGATTATCAACCATGAGACGCATGCATTAATAATCCAAGTTTACTACCGTGAAACGACCGAACGATTAACAAGTGTATTCGTCGATCAATTTAGTATTAATTAATATATGAAACAAAACTAGTTGATCCTTTAAGTAATGCTCAATATATTAATATGAAATATGAATAAGAATTAATTAATATTCAAGGAAGAATATTAAAGAAGATAAATCCTAATATAACTAATGTCAAGGTGTTAACTAATTGTCATCTTAGCAACACTCCCCAACATTAATATAGAGAAAGAAAATAAATACTACTCTAACTAATGTCGAGATGTCAACTAATTGTCATCTTAGCAACACTCCCCAACATTAATATAGAGATAGTATTAAGGGAAAAATTAATATTCAAGGAAGAAGATTAAAGAAAATAACTCACAACTTACAATTCATTAAGCTTCAAAGTAGCAAAACCAAGATGGAAGAGTTTAGCTCCTCATTTGGAGACTAAGCATGATAGAAAATATAAAGAAAACACTAATCTAAACTGAGCTAAAGAGTATATGTGAATTGATGATTTTATTGGGAAGGAAAGGGGTGTATTTATAGGCTTTTGGAGCTGCAGGGTCTGATACCCGACCGGGTATATAGGATACTCGGCCGAGTATTTTAGGAAATTGCCCAGAAAGTCCCTTTTCTGGGCATACCTGATCGGGTAAGGGTATATACCCGATCGGGTATGTGACAAATCTTTATGAAAATTTGCTCCCACGATCATTTGTCTTCGGATTTGATTTGGACAGTCGAATCAAGCAATTACCCGATCGGGTATAGGCAATACCCGACCGGGTACATGAGTATTTTTTCCAAATCCAAATCTTTCTTGCCTCCTTGCACTTTTCTTGATCTTTTAAGGTCCAATCTTGATCCCTTGGATGATCTTTGACTTGTTTAGCTCAGAAAAATCCTAATCTAACCAAATTACAAATAAAAATGAAAATAAAGTATTACACCAAAAGTGTGTAATTTCCACAACTAGAACTAATAAAAACTAGTTAAAAATACAAACATACAATTGGAAATTACATGAATATCAGAAGCCAAAGACAAAATAAAAGAGAAAAACGGGGAGGGAAATTACCTAAATCACGGAGGCACGAAGAACTGGACCGAAGAGTTCGAGCGGGATAACAACCAACACCCGAGAATAGCAGAGCAAGAATGTGGAAACCCTAATCCATCCATTCTAGCCAGTATTTATAAAGGATTTCCACCATCCAGCGGACTAGTAAACCCGCGACAAGTGGTGAGGAGCGTATTCCAGGACACGTGTCACGCGGAGCTCAAGAGACGTGATGAGTACGCTCACCTTAAGAGTTGATCCGGCCACCGTAACCGTCACCTAGGGTTTCATGTAACACCCCGACCCCGCAGGACCCGAGGTAGTTACTTCGGACCAATAGTATTATCCCCACAAACCACCACAAGCCTTTACCGCGCACTTTGTCCTCACTCATGCGCGCCCTGAGAAACTTCCCAGGGGGTCACCCATCCTGGGACTACTCCCGTGCGAGCACGCTTAACTTTGGAGTTCTTGGGTAATGAGCTCCCTTAAAAGGAGATGCACCTCTGTTTGTATGAGTACTACTATTAATCCGTTTATATTAAATCTCGGGTATTACAATCACCCCCACTTAGGATCGCAACGTCCTAGTTGCGCCCTTATACAAATCTCAATCAAATCCCAGAATCTTTCCCCCGCTAAGTGCCCGCCCGATATCCAACGGGTCATCACACTGTCGCGGGGTTGCTCTGATACCACCTGTAACACCCCGGCCCCGCAGGACCCGAGGTAGTTACTTCGGACCAATAGTACTGTCCCCACAAACCACCACAAGCCTTTACCGCGCACT